TACAGTACCTCAGTGTGCTTTTATAAAAACAAAGTAAGGGACTAGGCAGATGGCTCAGTTGGTAAAGTGCCTGCCCCACAAACATGAAGACATGCATTCAGATCCCTAGTACCTACAAAAAAGAACTCAGCACGAGATGTGTGCCTGTAATGCCAGTACTGGGAAAAAGGAGACAGGGGGATCCCTGGAGCTTGCTGGCCAGCTCGTCTTGAATTGGTGAGTTCCAGTTAGAGACTCTGTCTCAAAACAGAAGGTGGAGAGCAACAGAGGAAAATACCTGATGTCAGCCTCTGGCCTGTATGGCCAAATACACGTGCACACACATAAACACGTAACACATACACACTGCAAAAGTCAAACCAAAAGCAAATCAAAAGCTTACACAATTTTCTGACTTTATTCTACAACCTCCTACAACTTCAAATGCCTCAAGGATGAGGCCACCTCTTTTCAGAGGAGAGAAAAGTACCTTGTGTTTATATGCACATTTACTCAATATGGGGATGAGGCGTGTGTGTGTGTGTGTGTGTGTGTGTGTGTGTGTGTATGTGTGTGTTTTCTTTTGGTCTTTTTGAGCCAGGGTCTCTCTGTAGCCCCAGCTGGTCTGGAACTCACAGATATCTGCTTGCCTCCTGCCTGGCTAGGGATGAGGCTTTGTAGCTCATGCAAGGTCTCTATGGCAGAAACTGTGGCTTATTGTGTAGCATGCAGTTCTAGAAGGGTTAAGATTTTGGACAGGGAGGCTGTGTGAAGTCATCAAAACAAGAAAATGGGCAGGATTCAGGGCAGAAATTAGAGCCAGCACTCTGGGCAGCTGCTCCCACCTACCCTGGACTCCTACTCTCACCCACTGCAACTTTTCCTTTCTACTCTACAATAATGATAAGTATCAATGATTACTATTCATTTAGCTGTTTTGAAATTTTCTAAATATTATTCCATTATCTTCACAAAGGTCCTGGAAGAAAAGTACAGCTAACAAATCATTTAATTCTTCCCCAAAATGCTATGAAGTTGGCCTTATTTTACAAATTAGGGAATTAAGGCACAAAGACTTTTAATTGTTAGCTTAAGTGAATATGACTAATAGGCAGCAGAGCTGGAGCAGAACCATTGTTCTCAGCTTCTATGATACCTGTGTGGGATGCTGTTGAATGATGCTAACTTAAAACCTGCAGCCACCAGGAACTGGTGAGTGGGAACTGTGTTGGTGGTGTAAAATGAAGATTTAAGACCAGAGAAATTGCAATAAAGACTGGGCTTTGCTTCTGATACAGAAAGTAAATGGAAAACGGGTATGAAATGAGTAAGCACTGACATCAGATACAAGAGCTATGTCTCTCATTTGAGGGCTGTTGCTGACATCAGTAAGACAGATGACTTAACAATCTCAAGCATTTTGAGTTTCTCAAATCATGGCTGAGAACAAATCATCTGAATTCCTGTTTCCTTTCTAGAATTTGGATAAGTCAGTCAGCCATTCAGGGAGTCAATACACAACATTTACTGAATACTTTTTCTTTTTTTCATGAAACACCCCTTCTGGTGTCTTAGCATCATTAGCTGTAAATGTAGAATAAATTATGCCTTGATTTAATATTTGTAGGGTTCATAAGAAGTTTTGAAAATTCCCCTTGGAAGGGGAACCAAATGGGAAGTCATTTGAAGAATGATAAAATTACCGCTCCCAAATTCCAAACTAGAGTTTTAGGAGTAATGTGATCTGTAGAATTGAAGAAATCATTTGGGGGCAACTGCTGTTCTGTGGCCAGACTCACACAGCTGGTCTAGGCCTCCTGGGACTCTTCCTGAGCCATAGTATTAAAGTAAAGCTTTTCCCTTATGTTTTGAGTCCATATGGTTCTACCCACTGTTCCTTCTAACTTCTGACATATCCTGGCAGGAAAGTGAACATACGTATTTACATAAGATACAAGGCTGTGCAAACGAATGATTAGCCTGTTAAAGGGCACCACTTGATAAATGTCTCTTCTTATTACTTTTAATGGGCTCTACTCATCTAAAAACTGTTCTATGTTCTTTAAAAGTCCTTATTTTTCTTGTGTGCTTTCTACCAGCATCTTCTCCTGTACAGTACCAACCTCTCTCAATTAACTCCCATATCCTTTTTTTAAAAAAAAACACTAATATACAGATTTTAAAAATAATGAATGTAAATTTTTCCAGGAGTCCATAAACTGCCAATTAGTTAATAATTTCTTCCACTAAGGGGTTAAAATGGGTTCTCCTTTGAAATGTACTTTGTGAGTGTATTTTTCTGTTATGAATATGGGCCTGACCTTACGTATGGTAAGTTCCAATAGTTTTTAGACCACTCCAGAGATTCTATTTATGATTTTGCAGAGGTTAGTGAAAAATGGACTCAACTATTGGCTAGAAATTGAATCACAGCAAAGGAGGAAAAGATGTTTGTTATTCAGTGTGTCAGCAAAGGGCATGCTCTGGATTTTCATTATACCCTTCTAAAATGCAGTGTTAGCTTTAAGACAAACAAAAATTCAGAGAATGCTAAGCACTGAGAGCCAGTACTTTCTCTTTAGTATGTTGTTTCTTAATCACTAACTTCTTTTAAATAGCCCAAAGGCTTGTAAGTCTTAGGATGAGAACACCACGAAGGTTAAAAAACAAAAACTGGGTCATTGTCAATAATCCACTCCAAATAACTGACTTGAAAAATATATCTGAAAGTTATTGAGTACTTTTTTATTGTCTTTGTTCTTAGTTTTCAAGTACTGTATGATTGCTGTGGACCCTTAGCATGTGGTATTCTCTATGTGAGAGTCAAGACCAACTCACAGGTATTTATTTAGTTAACTTCATCAAGGCTGCCAAGGAGAATCTGGTTTGGAAGCAATGCAAGATTGCAGGTTTGTTAAAGGGATAAAATGAAGTCAGAAATGACTTCATGTGTTTTTACAACGTCCATGTAAGTACATAAAAGGGCTATATTATTTCCAATTTATAGATGAGGAAACTAAAGGAGTCAAATATATTCAATATTTATTAAACATCTGTAGTAGGAGAGACACAGTGCTAGAAATTTTAAAGTGGTTATTTAGAAATAAGCTAGTTAATACCCTTCAAATGATTACAATCTAATGGGTATGACAGACTATGAAAATACACTAATAAAGTCACAGAGGAAGAATAGGAGAGAGGGTGAATTGTGCTTGCTGGAAAGTTTTAGGGGGGTTTTGTGGGGATAGAATCTAAACCAAGCCTTAATGGGTTGTGGGTGTTGGACAAAGATGGCAGGGTAGTGGAGGAGATAGAAGAGACTTAGAAAGGACCCGGGTGAGAATTTATGTGGTTGTTGCATGGGACTTGAGGGCAAGGAGGCAGATGAAAAGTATTCAGAGGGTTTACAGATGCCTTTGATACCTACTCAGTGGCAGGGTAGAAGACAGTAGGATGGCAGAATAGCCACTTAGCCTATTGCAATGGGTCAGCAAAGAGGTAATGAAAACTAGAGCTGAGCAGAACTGGAAACAGAAAGGTAAAGATCTCAAAGACAGCAGAGACAGAATCTGTGTAATTTGGAAACTAGTTGGATACCAACTATGAAAGAGGAGAATGATTTGAACATAGTTCTGACATAGTAACTTAAATAATTTTATATTTGAGTTTCCCTTGGACCAGACATAAGGAAAACTGAGTGGGAATGTAGGTATAATGATCAGGATTGATAATAATCTAGAAATCAACCATATAGATTGGATAGTTGAATCTAAGTAAGAAACCACTAAAGAGTGATTAAGAATACAAACAGATAAATGTTTTTAAAAAAGGAAATCTTAAGGAAGCATCTGTATTTTAAGAATGAGTGGAGACGGGGAAATGAAGGAAGAAATGTTACTGATGAAGCCTGAAGGGTCAGAGAAGAAAGGCCTCAATGGTATGGCACTGAAGTCAAGAAGTTTCCAGATAGCTGAATACTGCTAGGTGTACAAGTAGGAAATTTACTGTGGCCACAGAGGTCACATTCAAGCTCAGTTCTGCATCCATCTGCTGAATTATCATAAAAGAAAGCAACGATGTCTGCAAGAGAAACCCACTTGCCGTTTTACATGGTTAACCTGGGACTCGGCCACCGCAACTCATTGCAAGGTCTAATCTTCACTAAACTTTTAAAACATGTTTTTACTTTTGCATCGCACACTCTCTCCTTCCATGAGCTCTTAAGATAACTATCGTCAATTATGCCCCAAGTGTCCTCTTCATTTCTGTGGTCCTGCTCAGGGGTTAGCTGCCGAGGCTTCTGAATCAGAGGCTGGCTGGTATGTAATCCAGTAGCGTGGTGGTTTGCTAACTTCCCTAATCCTCGGTTTCTTCATGCGCAAAAACGAAGGCGGTGAGACTTACATATTAGAAGAGAAAAATGTACGAGTTAATGAAAGTAAAACCCTCAGTATAATTCTGTCAAAGGCTCCACTCATTTTGTTGTTTGTATTCTATCATTTCCCCGAGGGCAGAGGGTTATTCTAACACTGTTCCCCAAGGCATACAGTACCGACCCAGAGACAGCAAGTCTCATCCGCCAGCCCTCGCGAAAACATCTGCAAAAGAGAGGGGTGAATAGTTAACCAGTTCATCGAACTCGGCAGCCCACCAACGAGGGCTGGCTGCAGGCGGTGTAGAAAGCTGGAAACCTGCATGGCCCTCAGAGGACTACAAGTCCCAGAACGCAGCGCGCCACTCTGGGCCGAAATTTAGCTAGGAGCCTGCGCGTGGGGTTGAAGGCTGGAGGAAGCGGTGCACGCTGGGACTGGTAGTCCCCAGGTGGCAACTCCGGGGGTCGGAGGTGGGTCGAAGGGACTACTCTCTGCCCAGTCCCGCCTTTTGTCCACGTCCCCTTTCTCCTGGCCAATGCCCTGTCCTGTAGCTGCGGCCAGCCCCTCTCGGAGGCTGTTCCCATTGGCCCTGGGGCTCACCCACCTCGGCCCTACCCGGAAGCAGCGTTGGGGAGGCGGTTTCCTAGACTACGACACCGGAAAGTTGGGGGAGGCGCTCCGGGCCGCGGAGGGCGGAGGGCGGTGGCAGCGCTGGCGCTGGGGACCGACTCGGTTGCTTCGGCAAACATTTCGGCGCCGGTGGCCGTCCGCCTCATTCCACAGCCCGCCCTCGACACGGCTCGCAGCCTCCTCGCCGCCGGCGGTCGGCAATGTGGCCCACCGAGCGGGTGTAGCAGCTGCGCGTGCGCGGAACCGCGGGGCCATGAGCGAAGCCGGCGGCCGGGGCTTTGGGTGCCGGGTCCCCCAGCGAGCGCCATGGAGCTTCGTGGCCGCGACCGCTGCGCTCTGCCTGGTGTCGGCCACGTCGGTGTGCCGGGCGGTAGCCGCGCCCATGAGCAGGGAGGAGAAGCAGAAGCTCGGGTAAGGGTGCGTGGCAGCCGGGTGGGCTCCGGGAGAGGCTGGCGGCGCCGAGGTGCCTGTCATCGCGTCCCCGGCGTGCAGTGGCCTCTCTCGGTCGCCGCTGCCGCCCGAAGACCTCGGTGCGGTGGCCCGGGTCCCGGAGGGTGGGGGCGGCTCGCGCGGCGTGACCTCGCGGGCCGTCAAGCGTCTCCCCGGGATTGGTACTGCTCCGCGGGGCCAGCTGTATGTGTCAGCGCTGGTGCGCCCGAGGGGGCTGGCGGAGGGCGGTGGAACAGTGTCCTGGGATGCCACCCGGCCGCGTTCTCTCCAAGGGAGCTCCCAGCTGGGAAAATGTTGCTGATCTCATGTTAGTTAAGGAATGGTGTTTCCACCTGTTAAAGGAAAGCGGGCGTTCATAAGAACTTAAACTTTTCAAATTTTACCATTTCCTTGCAGTGTTTTCTTGCACAGCGTTTCAGAGTGGAGCAGACCGTTTGATGGCCCTCATCAAGTGTCCCTACTTAGATGAGTTTCATGAGCCTAGAAAGTGTTGCAAACCTGTTTTGTTTGTAGTATTTAATTCAGTCAGTAATTCTGAGGTATGGGAAGTGATACCGGTAAATAAGAAAAGAAGCAGAGAATCAAGAGGAAAATAGGCAAAAGCATGAACAGTTAAAGTCAGAGAGGAAATGCAAAAAGTCAGTTAACACGAAAAGTTAACCTTGTAACTGTGAGAGATGTCGATTAAAAGAATGAGCTAGGTGGGTTTTTGCCTGGCTGTTTGGTAAGCATAGAGCCCCCAGGATGCAGCCCTGTTAAGGTTGGTTTGGGGGCGGGGAGGGGCCGGGGAGAGGCAGCTTGGAAATGCAAATTGGTTTAACCTACACCGTCTCCTAAAATTTAAGTTGTGCACGTTCTTTGATTCATCATTTGAGTCCCTAGGGATCTACCCTACAGAAATAAAAGCACTATTAGAAATAGGTATATAACAGGGTTTATTTTGAAAGAACATAGCTGTTCTTTGGAGGGAAATAATTGAATATAGTACATCTGTATTAGAGGGTCATGTTCGTACATTAGTCTAGAAGACTATCCAGGATCTGTTCCCAAGACCAAAAAACATCTTTTTTCTTTCTTTTTTTTTTTTAGTCCTTTTGAGACAAGGTTTCCCTGTAGCCTCAGCTGGCCTGGATTCACTAATGGAGACCAGGCTGGCCTCGAACTCACAGAGATCCGCTTGCATCTGCTTCCCGAGTGCTGGGATTAAAGGCGTGCACCACCACACCCTGCTCAAAAAACATTTTTAAAAGCACCGTTGTAAAATAATATATAAACAGTTTTCCATTTTTTTAAAGAAAAAAAATGCCTAGACTCAGGAAAAAAGTAGAAAGGTAATTTAGTTATCTCATAGTGTTAACATGAAAGGGAGTAAAGCCATCAGATTCTAATATATGCCTCTTTATTTAAATCGTAGCAAGAATCTTATATTAATTTTGGAATAAAAAAATCAATAAGGGTTAATGAAAAACAAGAAACTGTCAGCTATCAAAACAAAATTGCTCGGGGCTGGAGATATGGTTCAACGGTTAAGAACACTGATTGTTCTTGCAGAAGACCCCGCATTTGAATCCCAGCACCCACATGGCAGTTAACAACTGTCTGTAACTCCAGTCCAGGGGATCCGACAGCATCTTCTGAATTCCGCAGGCATTGCACGACATGGGTGCACTTATCTACGTGCAGGCAATACACGCATACACATAAAATAAAAATAATTAAAATTAAAAAAATTCTCTTATTTAAAAAAACAAACCAAAAAAAAAAACCCCAAAAAACAAAATTGCTGGTGAACTCTTCTAACATCTTACATTTTTCTTTATGAATTTAATGTGAAACGTGGTGAGCATTTTAATGACTATTCCACTATGATGTTACTTGTCATCCTTATTTTGTCATGAGGTGGATGGTATCTCCATTTTGCAAATGAAGAAATTGAGATTCAAGGTTAACTTGTTCAGAGCCTCAGAGCTGGTAATAATAGGTGGAGCCAGATTTACCCAGATCTGTCTGATATCATAGCTCATACTCTGTACTGTCCTGTACTTCCTTAAGATGTGGAAAAGAAGTATTAAGTCTCTTATGGACTGCAAGTATTTTACCTGACTTTTTCTCTTACTGAAAATTTTTATGTGAAAACCAGTTATAATTTTTGACCAGAACTAATTTTAACTGGAAAAGTTCAAATTGACTTGAGATTTCTGCTCAAATCTTGACTGAGTTCATTTGCAGAAGTGAAACTGTGATTATTTGGGCTTATTAATTTAGCTCATCCCACACTAGAGTATTGGTGGAGTAGAAGTCTAGAGCTGTAACCACAAACTGACAGCTCCGTGACTGCTTTTCCCACTGAAACTTTTCACAGAACTGAATTATGATTCATTAGGTTTACCTGTATAATTTTTTAAAGTTCAAATAATAATTTAGGGTAAAAAGCAGAAAATATACTGCCATTTTTATATCCCCCAACCAAACAGATAATACAAACTGGAGTTGTGGGCCAGAGAGATGGCTCGGTTGGTAAGTGCCTGCCATGCAAATATGAGGACCTGAGTTGGGATCCCCAGCACTCAGTAGAAGCTGGGCATGGGAGCTGGTGAAACAGAGACAGGTGGATCCATGGAACTCATTGGCCAGCCAGTCTAGCTGACATGGTGATATCCAGACTCCGTGAGATACTCTGTCTCAAAAAATAAGATGCAGAGGGATTGAGGAGAATACCTGTCACCAATCTTTAGCCTGTGCATAAACATGTGCACACACACACGGTAATTGTTACCAACTGAGCAGTTAGTTGCTCAATTGCTTTTAGTTATATACCTGATCATATGTAGTTTTTACCGTCTGTGGAATAATGTTGTTTTTGTTTTTAAGGTAGCAGATTTTGTTATTGTTTTTAGTTAGCAGTAAGTAGAACACCAGTTATAGATATTGAGAGGCGTGACTTTAGTAAAAACTGACTTACAGAAATTTTCTTTTATAATTTAAATGTATAATTTTTTTGATAATTTCATACATGAGTACTGTATTTACATCATTTCTACCCTCCCCCCCTCCAATTTGTGACCTCTTTAATTGTTATTGTTTCACACACACACACACACACACACACACACACACGCACGGACGCACGTACAACCTACTGAGTCTGTTTAGTGTTGCTAATATGTACATGTGTTTAGGACTGACCATATGACATCAGGGAGTGACTTGTCCCTAGAGAAAACTGATTGTCCCTCTTTCAGCTGCCATTGATTGTCTATAGCTCTTCTTCTAGGTGTGTGTGTGAAATTTCACCAATCCACATTAGCATGTCAACTAGTGTTGTTATGCAAATCTTGTTTAGTCAGCCATATGTTTTAGATTTCATGGGTGTGGGTTCCCTGTCATGTCTAGAGGACACTATCTAGCAGCAAGCATCCTTATATAAAATGAAAAACAAAACAAAGTATTTTAAACTGAGGATCCGACTTCCGATATATTTTTTAAAACTGTTTAGATGTAAAACCTATAGAAACTTTTTTGTTTTATACAGTCAATATGTCATTCTGCACTTATATTTGTAAGAAAGCATCAGGGTATTAAATATTTCTACTCTGGGGGCTGGAGAGATGGCTCAGCGGTTAGAACACTGATTGTTCTTGCAGAAGACCCAGGTTCAAATCCCAGCACCCACATGGCAGCTAACAACCTTCCGTAACTCCAGTTTCAGGGGATCCGACAGTCTCTTTTGTTTTCCAAGGGCATGGCATGACAGGGGTGCATTTACCTACATGCGGGCAATACACACATACACATAAAAATAATAAAATATTAAAAAATATTTCTACTTTAAAGTATATATTGAAAACTTTGCTGATCATGTGTTGCATAAATGCAAGGATTGGGAAATTGTGTATCCTCCTTGCATGCAGTCACGATTTACCTATACTTCTGAAGATTCAGTTTCTCAGAGTTGAGTTAGCATCTCAACTCTGAGATGCACTTGGAGGCACTAGCATTACCAGTTACAGGAAGTTTCCCTTTTAGATATTAATCTTGTATTCTGTTTCAGGGAAGGAAGCTTTCTACATTCCATTTTGATATTAGTGCGTAAAGGGACTTTTAAACCTCCTAGTATGTTTGGTGGAGTGGTTTTTCTTAGGCTATTTTGAGAGATCTTTATCATCTGCAGGACGATGAATGTCTGGAGAGATTCTTTAAGATACACAATTTTCTGAGATTCCCTTGTTCTGTCATCTGTGTGTGTGTGTGTGCGCGCGCGTGTGTGTATAAACTTAAATAAAATCAATGCTTTGAAGTAGTGGTAGTAAGATCTGGATTCCCTTTTTTTCACTATTACATTCATATGTGTGTATATGTATGCATGAGTACATGGCTACATGATGTCATTTTTGTGTGGAGGTCAGAGTGAGACTTGCTGAAGTCAGTTCTCTCCTAATACCATGTAGGTCCCAGAGACTGTACGAGTTAGCTGCTTTCTTACAAATATAAGTGCAGAATGACTGAGCAAGTCAGGCTCAGAGGTAAGCACTTTTACTCACTGAACCATCTTCTGGCTCAAGAACTTGTTTTTAATAGTTAGGTGTTATAAAAAGTTGTCAGGACTTAGTCCCATTTTTAAGTGTATTTGATTTTGCTGGTCAATATAGCCAGGTTCTGGAAGTGAAGTCTTCTGTATCTGCTAGCTGTATTATTATTGGCATTTCATCATTCATTGTTTAAATTCCAAAAATGATAACTGTGGCATAATAGGAAACAAAATAAATATAACCAGTAATTTATTTAACACTTTTGCAATTCTTGATTTTAGTAATTGGATCTCTGGGAAGAGAAGAGTTTGTTAAAGATTGTCTAGCTGTTTTTCTTTGCTAATTATTAGATTTGGTCCTGTCTGTCTCTAATGTTAACTTTTGTAGTTTTTCTGAGCACTCAGGGCCTGGGTCATGAGAGTGTTTGGCTTAATGAATCTTGGGCATCAGAAATCTTCAACTTTTTAAATTTTTTGTTTTATGTGTATGAGTGTATTGCCTACATGTGTGTAAGTGCACTCGTGTTGTGCAGTGCCCACAGAGGTCAGAAGAGGGCATCAAATTGCCCTGGAACTGGAGTTACAGATGATTGTTAGCCATCATGTGGGTGCTGGGAATTGAACCTAGGTCTCTGCAAGAGTAGCCAGTGTCTTAACTGCTGAGCCATCTCTCCAACCCCAGAAATCTTCATTTTAAACAGCTGTGGTGGAGGTTTAGAGAAACAGGTTAGCCCAAACACACAGTCTCTCTCCTCTCCCTCCTCTGCGTCCTGTCATTTTCTCCTTTCTCCCTCTGCCCAGGCTATGATCTTCTAGCCTCAGCCTCCTGAACACTAGGTTGTCTCCTTTTGAACTTTAAAATTTTTGTTTTTAAAGTGAATTCTGTTTTTTGATTTTTTTTTTAAGAGAACACAGTGCATCATAAAATATCTTTTTAAAATGAGTCGAACAAAATATGTACTTAAACCAGGCCTTAGTGTTTTATTCAGTTTAATGGGAAAGGCAGAGGCTTGAGAAAATGTTATTTCATATTAGTATGCATACCTGCCTGCCCTCCCCCTCTTTAGTAAAATATATAGGATGAGCAATAGATGGCTCAACCCAATACATGTCTTTGGGAGCTGTCCAGCAGTATTTCACTTCAGGACAGATGGGTTAAATCATTCTGCTGAGAGCTGTATGCTGCTTTTCAGGGTTCTTGTTCTTTCTCTGCTATCATAGCATGTATCATTCAGTAGTTTTCTTAGGAAACAAATAGGAGTTTATGCAAGTTACTAGGACTAGTAAATGTTTGGTCCAGCTCCTTGTGGTGAGGTGGTGAAAGCTTGGCTGCTCGCTCTGTTGTATAGCATCTAGCTAAATTTTTTTTTTTTTGGTAGGCTTTTATGAAGAAGACTTGTTTTTGAAGCACAAAAAATAGAACACTCATAACTTGTCTTCATTTCTGTTTTTCACACTTAGGAATCAGGTCCTGGAAATGTTTGATCATGCTTACGGCAACTATATGGTAAGTACGGAGTGCATTTGTATGTACTGCTTAGAGGAGCTGGCTGCACAGTTAACAGGGAACATGAATTACTAGCATATATGTTTAAAGAAAGCTTTTGAAAAGCAGGTCAAACATAAGCTAATAGAGTATTCCTAGCCATGATTCTTAGGCAATCAGTTTATAGAACAGGTAAGAGTAAATTGAAATTAGATTATGAAACTTTGTATTAAGCAGTTTACTTAGGCACCAGTGGCCACTCATTGAATACTGTAATAGATAGAACTGAAAAGGATGCTATCATTGGCTTTAAGGGAATTCTCTTAAGAAACACTGTAATTTTATTTTATAAACTATGAACAAACCATTGCTTATAAGAGATAAATTATCACATAGCCTCTGTCCAAATTAAATTCTTGTAGACTCTGAGTTGAATGTACTTTGCGTTTTGCCTCCTGATCAGATTGTTTTTAAATGCCCTAGAGCTGCCTTAAGATAAAATAGCAGTTGCCACTATTTGAAGTGCAAAGTTATAGAGATGTGTTGCAGAAAATAGTAGATGAAACAGCAAGTTTTAACAGTTCAAAAGAAAGTTTTGCTTGTAAATGTGTGTGATTTTTGTAAAGCATTTAATCAAATTCTGCTAAGAATTTCTTCTAACTGGGTTTACATTATAAAATATACCAGTAGATTTTTTTTTGTGTGATTACAGCCCATAAAATACAGTTAACAAAAGTTTGACAGAGAACTCAGTTTAATTCTGCTTTAAATTTTTTTCTGCTAATTCTGTGCATCTATTTTCATTTATTTAGGGCAAGTATGTCTTCATATATCAGTATCATTAGTCTTATTTATAAACACCTAACTTTATGCATTTTTTTGTTTTTAAACACGTTTTGTGTCCGATAGCCCTTGCAACCTTTCATTATTATTTGGTAAAGGCATTCAGTGTTTTTAGAATATGATAGTGGTGAAGTTTTAGACATAAACATATTGAAAACACAGCTTTAAACTTACTACTCAAGGTGACCTTAGCTATTCTTTTAGTATTTCTTTCAAAATCATGTTTCCCTGATTAATTCTGTTTGGGGAAGCCTAACTTAACCAAGGCCAGGCTAATGGTATAGAGATAGTGATGTGGATCCCTGAAAGATTCCCAAATTGTTGCCTGTGCATACAGGTGGTTCCAAAGTTGAGTAAAGTAGTAAACAGCTAGATGAATTTACTACGTCTTGCTATAAATAGGAGCCTTTATTTTAAATTTATTTTGTGTGTGTGTGTGTGTGTGTGTGTGTGTGTGTGTGTGTGTGAAGGATAGAGGCTGGTGTTGGGTATCTTGCACAGTCACTGTTCACCTTAGTTTTTGAGACAGGGTATCTCACTGAACCTGGAGCTCACTGATGTGTCTATAGACAATCTGGCAAGCAAGCCCAGGGTCCTCCTGTCTCTGCCTCCCTAGTGCTGGAGGTGTGCACTATCATGCCTGGCTTTTTACATGAGTTCTTGTGATCTGTACTCACGTCTTCATGTTTGCAGAGCATTGACTGAGCCATCTCTAGTCCCTAGGAGCCTCTCTTTGTAAAGCATGGTATCTTTAATATTTTACCCCTTTTAGGTAAATAGTAGAAAGTTTTATCAATACATTTCTCCCTGGTGTAGAATATACTTAGTGGAGTTTGTGGTAGAGCGGGTACTGAGGGCAGCCCTCACAGGATTTTCTGGCCCAGTTCCTAATGTGACCTAACTAGATAACTGCTACAACCAAGTACATACAAGATTTAAGTGAGGGATCTGAAGTATCTAGGTTTTAGGGCTAGATGACTTTGATTTCAAATCCTGCCTTGGCTGTTTATTTCTTAGACCCTGAACTGATAAGTTAACTCTTTTGAGCAAAGTCTTAACAATGTGAGATGGGGATAGTTGCAAAGTGGTATTGTAGACTGTAAGATTGTTGCAAATAGAGACCCTTTTTTTAATTTCAATTAAGAATTTTTTAATTTTCATTTTACATCTGTGAATATTTTGCCTAGGTCTATGCTGATGCACCTCATTTGTGCAGTGCCTACAGCGGCCAGAAGAGGGCACAGGATCCCCTGGAACAGTAGTTATGGACAGCTCTTAACTGCCCTGTGGGTGCTGGGAACTGAACCCAAGTCCTCTGCAAGAGCAGCCAGTGCTCGTAACCAACTGTCTCTCCAGCCCCTATTTTCAATGTTTTAAAAAATATTTTATTTTTATTATTTTTATTTATGTGTTTGCGTGACCTACATGTGTCAGTATACCCATGTTGTACAGTGCCCATGGAGGTCAGAAGAGGGTGTTGGATCCCCTGGAGCTGGAATTATGGGTGGTTGTTGGCCACCATATGGGTACTGGAAATTGAACCGGGGTCCTCTGCAAGAGCAGTCAGTGCTCTTAATGACTGAGCCATCTCTCCACCCCTTTTTCCAATTTTTAATAAAGTCAACTTTTATATGTCCTGTGCTTAGGACATAAATGGTTATTAAATATTTTTTGAAAGAACTAAATTGATTTCTTGTGAAAATGAAATATTTTTTACTTCATTACTTTGATATTTCTTTGCCTTTTAAACTGAAAGAAAAAAATATAATAAACTACCTCTAAAATACAAGCTTATGGATAATTTCAGGATCTATAAATTTTATTAAATCAGTTGTCTATGCTAAAATATAAGTGCCTGGTACATAGTAAACTTTTAATAAATGTTAAGAACTGTCCCTGTTTCTCACTGGGTGTTTGTAATGTTGCTGTCCAGTTTAGCCTATAGCTGGAGCAGTTCCTTTAACCTTCCTGATTTGGGGGGTGGGGACATTTTCTAAAGATAGGCGATATAAAGTAATTAGGAGCAAGAACTGTGGACTTGGAAGAGGATCTCCTGTACCTACCAGCTGGGTTATACAGGGAAGGTTACCTCATCTCCTGGAGCTTGTTTCCTCATCTGTATAAAATGGAGACTGTCCTTTGCCTGCCTCCCAGTGTTGTATAGGCAAAGCATTGTCTCCATTTTACAGATTGCTAGGTAGAGCTCGTATGTGGCAGATAGGACTGAGTTAACTACTTCTACAACTATTAACTGTTGCTGATAATTAGGACTCATCATTATTATATAGTCTTTACCTGAGACAAAAATTTCCCCGCTAAGCCAGGTATAGTGTCAAACATTTATAATCTCAGCACTCGTAAGACAGAGGGAGGAGGATCACCCCAAGTTCCAGGCTAGCTTAGTCTATATGGCAAGCTTTGGGCCAGGCAAGACTACATAGCAAGACCCTGGGTCAAACAAAACAAGCAAAAAGAAAGAAGGAAATTTCCCTCCAAAAATTCATTTAGATTTTCACTTTAAATGTGTTCCCAGATTGAACAGTGACTCCTTAAAGCTCACCCATCCTTCCCTGTTCTGGCATGTGCCCTGAAGCTTATTTTTCTATCTGTTAATGAAATGTGCTCTGCATTCGGTTTCTTAGGAAAAATGTCTTGCCAGCTCTAGGTAGATTACCACAACTCACAACCCTTGGGGTATACTGAGAGCTTTTCTGATTTTTAGCATGTATTGCATAGCTATTAACATTATAATGGTTGTTTGACAAATCTCTAGCCCCCTTCAGACTGGTTTATTCTCAGTGAATTAGTTGCACAGATGGCTTTCTCTTTTCCCCAAATCACATGAAATTTGATGTTAATTTTGGTAGTTTTTGTGTAATCTTATTTAGCCCTAGACCATCCTCACTCTAGGGCTCCTACTCACAGGTTTTTGGATAGCTGTGCTGAATTGAGTTTGCAAACTTAAGTAGATGACAAAGTAGTATATATTTGGGGCCATCCAAATGCAGGACTTTAGGGGATCTGAGCTCTATGATATTTTTCTCTCCCAGTGTTTTTCCTGACTACTATGAGCAGTCATACTGTTACTAGCAAAAAGTATATTTTTGTAGAGCCCTGAATATTACAAATAGTCTTAGAGTTGAAAAGCACAATTTCCTTTAACTAGTAGAATCCTCTTAATATTGTAATCACTTTAAGATTGATTTTCTGAAAGAAATATAAATTAATCTTTTTGTTTGTTTTGAAATAGAGCCTCTCTACATGGCCAGAATGGTCTTAAACTCCCTGTGTAGCCTAGGCTGGCCTCCAACCTGTGATCCTCCTGCGTTATCCTTTGAAGTGCTACGACTGCAGCTGTGTACCATCACACCCAGCTGATTAGTCTTTATTATTTAATGCAAGAAGAGCTGTTTTTAAATGTGATTTCCAAAGTTATGTACATTTCCTTAATAATGCTTTTCTTCCCCTTTTAAAATTTATTTAGCAAAATATACAATATATATTAATAAATAAATATATATATTTAGCAAAATAATTTAAAATGTTTTATTGTAGTCATTTTTTTGGAATACTGTTCTGTGGCATTGAGTATTCACAGTGTTGTACATCTTTCTCTAGTACATCATCTTCTCCATCACTGATTGATTGTTTTTTTTTAATCATTTATTTATCAAAAAGAATAGTATATAACAATATTTAAGAAGTATTTGCTGGGGGGGATGTATAGTCAGTAGGTCATATGGTAAGCATGAGTTTCACCTTAGAGTAAACTGCCAGGCTTTCCTAACATGGTTGTAGCACTGTCGCTCCTTCCTAGCCGTGCATGGGCTTCAGTTACTACCCAGTCCTTTTAATTTTAGCGTTTCTAGTAGGTGTGTAGTGCTGGTTTCACTGTGGCTTTAATTTCATTTCTCCTGGTGACTAATGCTGCTGGAAATCTTATGTGTGCTTATTTGCTATTTATGTATCTTTTTGGATGAAGCATCTGTTGAAATTCTTTTAAAAAATCAAGTCATTGGTCCTATTATTGCTGAGTTGTGAAATTATATAGTCTAGATATAGGGGCTTTATCACATGTTTTGTAGATATTTTCTCTCAGTCTGTACTTTGAATTTCAATTTTTATAACGATATTTGAAGCAGAAATGCTTTAAAAAATGAACAAATCCAATTTATCTT